ATTAAAATGTTTTTAATCAATTTCATTATATATTTTCGCACCTGTATACCTTTAATGTTCATGTTCAAGGACACAACGTCCTTTTACTGAATTTGAGATTCGACTAAATCCGAACTATAGTAGGGGGCCGCATAGAACAACTCATATTCCGTCCGAATAAAACCGCGGACGCATATTTAATTCAATCTTCAATTTTTGTTATTTTTTGTAACGAATTCTATTCGCTGTATAATCCTCTTGCTTGAATAAAATAGCTTGATCCGTAAACTACCGACGATGCAAGCACCGTAGAAATATCTAGAGTTTCTGCGCTGGAAACTTGAACTAAGTAACAACATCAGTACGCTGTTCCAGTGGCAGAAATGACTGGCTTGGGGGGTCCGTCTAATTAATCCGCCCGTTCCGGAAAATGCTGTTTCGAGCGAGATTTGGCAGTAAAACAGCCTTTCAACTTACACCTTGGGTGAGACGTGTTTAGTCAAAAATGTTAGATAGGACAAGATATTACGATGTAGGCACAAAAGTGATCCTGAGCACTAAAATGTGTACGGACGGGACCAAATAGGTGTTGCGGGTGTTTCTAAGTTTGCTTTGCTTCAGTGGTACATATGTAAATATTTAAAGCATCTTCTCTCACAATTAGGTTGGTATATTGGAGATTTTCTAGGGAATTTCCTAATGAATCTGCCAATTTTTTCTAATGCAGTTTTTGGGCTTAGGGCAAAAGGTCATATTGGCAAGGTGACGTGGGCGTCAATTTTAACACACATTAGCGATAATTCGGGATTGAAGTCAATTTTAGTTTCCTCTAGACTTGAAGTTACACAAAATCTAATAGGCAGTGTATGCTTATAAGTAAGTCATGTAATACGAGGTGCAGACGCCCAGATCAGCATTGGATCTAACGTTTTAAATAATAGAAGTAGATTTAGCATTAGGTGTTGAATAGGACTTTTACGTATAACCACACGATATCCTTTGATAAATCCGTGATGAAAACAATGATAGTTATTCTAATAACTTGCAAGAATTATGACCTTGGCCCCGTATAGATCGTAGACAAAGTACGAGTAATTTAGCGTCAATTCGTGCGTGAGTTGACAAAGAGTTATTCTTAGATGTAGCTTGGGCAAATATACACTTTCTCTTTCCGGGCTACACCTAATTACTGAGACACGTCAAGAATAATCTTTCTTGCCATAAAGGCACGATGTTCTTTACAACACAGTTATATTATGCACGCTAGGACTCGAACGGAAATCATTCAGGAACCCTTGTAGATGTCCGAAACAACAGGACGATAGTGTTATGACCAGTGCCGCCAACTTCCATGATTAATCAGGTCCATCCTTAATGTATTATGGACTTTTTTATGAAAGACGAGTGTTTTTGTATACGAAGGCCGGCGGAAATTGCAGACTGTATTAACGTCAATTGTAAGTGCAAAATGGGCATGTATATCAAAAACAAACACAAAAATATCTTACGTGTTGTTTCGGTCTCGCATCCAACTAAATTTAGCCAACGACTTTAGGTAAAAATCTGCTTTGATTAGCAGATTGATAGCTGTGAAGTAGAAGTTCTGAAGTGGCTATTTTTTATGTGTAAGTTTGTTTAATTACACGTATTTAATTTCGAATAAGTATATAATGCGACTACAGAAAGATAGCAAATATATATACATAATTGTTAATCTAGTTATGAAATATACTTGAACTCCTTTTGTTCCTAAAGTATATGATAAGATCTAAACATTTTCTCGAGAGTTTGCTTTAACTTGAATTGTCACGTTAAATCTGATAGGCGTCATCTGTTTGATTTATGTTAAGCTTGCGCCGCTACAATTATCGTATTACATTTCCGTACGAGCACCTATTATACTGCAGGTAAGTCATTAGTAAATAATGAACGAGGTGAGGCCGATGATCGTTTTTCGATTTCTTGAGGTCCAGTTCCATTTTTTGTAGATCCTCTCGAATAGGCCAATACGAAATACCGTCGTCACACAATTTTGCTATCCTTTCTCACCTACCTACTTAGTTTCTCCAGACAGAGCGTCCTTCGGAGGACATCTAGCGATTTCCGATCGTCAGGATACTGCCTATGTGAAGTTCCATTTGAGATTCAATTCGATTCCGAATTGAGGGTGATGTTATGGGTGCACGGGAAAATCTTACCGTCTGATCTGAGGTCTAAAAATGATCGCTTATGTGGAAAAGAAAAGGAGCATAGTTTGCGGAGACTGTATAGGAAGAACAGGGCCAGGTATCCAAAAGGCTCCGAAGTCTATGGAACAATCATAGCTGTCTGTAGATAGCTATACCTAGTGTAAATGCGCAGCGTTATAATCGATTCATTAAAAAACAAGGCGCATATAAACGACAAAGGTATTTTGAAGACAATGATGTTCATTGTAGTCCTCAATAATTTTGCATTATTTTCGATGGACTGTAAGTTTTGTCTGATTCGAGAACTAGAACTAGAAGGATTTTGATTGTGTAACAGCCTTTGTTTAGCTTGGCAAGGGTAACAAATCTCTTGTTTGGGTAGAATATTTGTTTTATTCATTAGGTGATTGCATATTATAAAGTAACAGTAAAAATGGCAGAAGCTAACTGTTCGAATAGTGTGCATGATGGTGTACAAGAATAAATCTGTCGTTTTCACGGCTATACTTTTGAAGGTAGCAAAATGTATTTCGACTTTCTTAACGGCTCACATAGAATTGGACATAAGCCTTGTTTATATACTTATAACTTGTTTACGTCTGTACTAAATGATCGATGGATGTAACAGGATTCACTCAGAGCCACATGGAAAGGTCTCGAATTTTTGTCCTGACGTACGTGCTATTTTTGGGGTACAGGAGGCGTCCAGCAGCCGTGCGTTCATTATCCTTTCCATTCCCATCTCTAGTAAAAGTTTGCATACTAGTTCATCAGTTCGACAACCTTATCCATGGCATGTGACCCCCTTTGTAGCGTCCTGTCTGGCGTTGCTGTTCTTACAATATTTAGTTGCGACTACAAAGGTCTGATCCGCCTAGCTTACCTTATACGAGCTTTGGAAAATCTGTCCTGACAACATGCCATCACAGGCGCCGTCAAACACTTCAACTCCCGAACGTGTCGTACACATGGATTATTATCCAGCAATTCAACGATTATCACCGAGACGCATATTCAAATATACGGACGATAAGCATCTCGTTTGTTTGGTGCAACGGAAACGATTCTTGGTATGAGTGTCCGCGTCTCGGAGTGACTCTGGTGGCACAAAATTTGAATCGATATCTATCTGATTAATCAAAGAGATTATACGCCTGTACGTAGGATTTGTATACAATCAAACTAATAGCTACGTTGCAGATTGATCTAGATAAAAGGTCGACGAACGAGCTCTTATTAAGGAGAACAGTACGAAAATCTTCTGTTTCTATCTTGGCCAAGTAAATCACGCAAATATAAAATTGATTCCCCGCGCCTGACTGACATTGTCAGGTTCAGACAATACAATTATCTGAGGCCCATATTTATATGGACTAGCGAAATAATTGTTTCGTTAGTGAGCGTCGGCGAAGATTTGCCTTTTACCGTGCGCTAACGTTTCGAGTAGCAACCTAATGAATATACGATATCAATTTTCTGTTCACTCGATACCACGTATAATGTTTTCACATACATCTCTTGTCGAAACATGCTATAGCGTTTCCGTGACGAGAAAAACAATACACGAGCCCATTTCGAGATGAAGTTTACGTGCTTGTTACCTAGAATATGTTTCTAGAAGACTGTCATAGCTGCTCCATGTGGTAGCTCAATAATGGTAAATTTGCCATATTTTCCAACAGTACTAGTGTGAGACGATTGTGCTATGAAATGTCAACGGTTGAAAATTGCACAAAATCAGAGGCAAAATTTTGATCTTGATAAAAAAATCGTTAAGCCCAAAGTCTTCTCATGTGCTGGGCATTTTTCAAGCAGTTGTCTGATTTGTGACACCTCAAAACGTTCTAAGCGTTACTCTGATCAACACTGAAGCAAATATCTGTTAAAGATAGGAAGACTGAAGGCTGAAGATAGGATGCAGTAAGTTTCTTTTTGTTGTAATGCGATCCACACATAACTATGGCATATTATGATAACGTATATTGTTGTTGCCAGCCGCTGACTAAACAAATATTTCTTCTCATCCATTATCTTATTTAGTGCCAGTTCTCTTCTGTCTGCAGAAATCTTCTGTCTCCTGATGTTTCTAGTGTAGCGACTCAGGAGGTCAATCAACGAACTACGCCTTGTGAAACCTTTGCGTGTTTTGGTCGTGGACTAGTTATCGCTGCGTAGAAATCAACTAGAGGCTACGAAAAGGAATCCCAATACCACGTAGGCGGCCAGTGATTGTGCCGCTGGAACTTTTCGATACCCCTGAAAAAACTGGTTTAAACGAACGGCGGCTTTGAAATATCCAGAGTTTTGCCATGGGACATATGGTCAGCTGGCGTCAATTAGCGAGATATCATTTCATTTTTTTGTGTTAATGTCCTTTCATAAGCGCATGCCTACATGTATCATTTCCTAAAAAGTCGATGTTTTCCTTTTGTCGGAACTGAAAGTTCTGGTAACCAAACTGTAACTTAACGATGAGTGTGTGTGTGTGTGGTAGGAACCGATTTTAAATATATCATGATTCTGGCTGCATGCAGTTGTACGGTGACCTGATACAATGGGCCTATAATTGAAGAAATTATAAAATTATATTTGGGGATCGAATCTGACAAAAAAGAATAAAAGTTCGTTGCGCCAGAGTATGTACAGCTGTCTCTTGGCATTCTCTTTTTCCGTACTGCATGGCACATGAACATGCACGTGTTGATCAAATGCTGATAGAAAAATTAAACTACATGTAACATAAGTAAAATGTTATTGTAGAAATTCTTTATTATTTTATAGTTGCAGCTATGTAACAATGCGGACCTGCTACGTCTAGTTCCGATCGAATACACGCGAGTTCTCATTACTTCGTACTCCTTCACCTATCTGTGTCAGTATTGTGTACAATGCACGGTAGACCTACCTATCAAATGCCCTGAAGCGCTATAAGCTTCCGCGATAGAGCCTAAAGTTAGCTATATACTTCTGCCAGTAATTGTTGTCGCGGATCGTGTAAAGATCTCTGCGCATCACCGAGCGCACCATAAGCTGATCGTCGCGGGGCGATGGTGAGAAAGTATCCAACAACACTCAGAAAGGTGAAGAAGAATCTTTGGCTAACTGCGTAGCAGCGATTTAAAGTAACTCGCAAAACGGAAACATTTCCTGACAAAGGAAAAACAACTGAATAGCGCTGCCAATAGCAAACAGGCGACTAAAATCAGTATATAATTTCGATGAGCGACAGATATGCGGCAATGACCTACGCCGAATCAGGCCCCGAATAGGAAACGCCGTATAGGTTCATACAATCGCCGGCGAATAAAATATCAATTTTGAAAAAAAAATTGACCATAAATGGCTAACCGTAATCGCATCTAGCAATACGGCACATAATCTCGTCACTACAGAATCGGTCTCTTTCATGACAAAAATGAGTCAAATTGACAGCGTTTATTACCTCGCGCTACCTACAATTTATTGAGGTCTTTGACGACGCATCGGTTTGAACTAGCGGACATTTTTTCAGCTGTAAGCTCCTTTCATTCAGGTTAGTTAATAAAAAAAACTCCATCTACTATCCGTAACAACATACATGGCACGTTGATTTTCGCGTTGAGTTTATATGAGTGATATTTATATAATAAATATATTTTTCTGACATCCGCAGATAAAATGTATCTCGAACAGAACAGCAAGCTAGGCCGAAACACCCATATTATGACTTCATGATAACTTAGTGAATAATGTGTTTGCGTGTATCTTCGACAGACGCACCTATCCGGGTTCGAATCTGGGCATAGACACTTTGTTTCGTGCTAGGAATCGGCCGTCTGATGGAATGCTTAATGGTAGTGCCGGATGTAAAACTCGAGATTTAGAGGTCCATACATTGTTAAGCAACCATACAGTTTTCTATCCATAAACAATAACCTAATATAACTAACGAGTAAAATTAATTTAGCTATAAAAGGTACAAGAACTACTCATATACATAAAACCCTATAACTCAGTGGGCGAGACAACCGTTTGAAACATGTGTATTTGGCTTGGCGAATCATATTGAAAGCGTTTTAATGTGTCGATTAGCGAGAAAAGATTCATTCATCTACCATATGGGGCGTTGTTCAGTCTATGAAAAAAAAACAATTATGAGAAAAGCTTCAAGGAAAATTTGCTTGGTTTACTGATTGCAAGCATCTAATACATGCTCAGGTATGCCGGAACGATAGAACAGAAAAAGAAGTTGCGCTTGACCTCATGGAGCGTTTCTGTCCTTAATTACACGAGGGCTGGCTATATGCGTTGATGTCGTCAAGAAAACATGAGTAAAGTGAGCGTGATTAGTTAAAACCTTAATGATTTTTATAGGATTTAAGGGAAAACCATGGTTTTTGAAAGCGACTGTGTTGGAATTGAACGCTTATCTGGTTCTGTTATTATAAGCGGCCTGCCATCGCCGCCAATGGTGACGCATATTTTTAATCAAGGGCGTGGTTACGTCTGCGGCATAATTCTGGCTTTGCTGGTTCGGTAGCGGAGTAGATTTCCCTGACGATCATTACCGCAAATTTTTCGTTTCGTATGCGCACTGATAACGTCTATCTGCGATGGCATTACCTCGCAGAAAGACAAAACAAACGATGGTTGGGGGCAAGGCTATGATGTGGTCGGTGACTTGCTTTAAAAACGGTGTCGCAAGCGTCAAATTTTTGTGACGCTGACCAATTGCCGATTTATTGCAGATACAGGGCAGAACGCGACACATTGACAAGGCGAGCGAGTTGCGCAATTGCTACACGCTACTTTTTACGGCACTCCGTTATGCGACCATGCATGGTAGAATCAGGCAGATGACAAGCGCCAGACACGCAATAACTGCCAATAAAAGAAGGCTAAGGCGATCCAAGACTCGCGAACAGTCAGGTAGGCCATCCTGAAAGAATGGAAAATAACACCGGAAGATTTTAAGCAGATGTCCTTTTTTGCAATCGCGCGTAACGATGAGAAACAAAAATGTCCATCCCGTACATATGGTGAATCAAGCTGCCTACCTGACTGGTCGCGTGAGCTCTACACACAGCCTCCGCAATGGGGCAATGGTAACTTATTCGCCTACTAAACTTAGAAACACACACGTGGTGGCCTAACTTTCTAACCAAACAAGACATACTTCGTTTTGTGCTGGGCGCGAGCCGTCTCAAGCAGTGATTCAAGGTTCGAAACATTTAAAAATCCATATGGATAATTTAACGATAGTGAATCACCGTATAATAGCTGTTATCGTGTGTAACCAGCTATACGAAAGGGTTCTATATAGACGAAAAGCGTTTTTACTCTGTAGTTATCAGTGACAGATTTTTTTGCTTTCCTAATCACTCTGATTTCCCGAGTGTTTATTATAAAGACAGCGAAGTTTTGGTAAACGCATACCTGCAGACAATTTTTGGAAATACTAAAATCCAGCTGCGTATGGCATCAGACCTTTCATACAGAGGTTCTATTTGTATCAACTGTCATTTTGCTTATGGAGAAAGAGTATTTTATCAATAATTTCATACAAAAGATTTTTGGCATTATTTTATTTCAAATAGCCTGTATTATTTCTATAAATAATACAGGCTATTTGAGTTTCCTTTGCTTTGATCACAGTATCTCTCTTAACGAAAAGCTTTTGCTGCGATTGTGTTCGCTCAAATTCAATTGTTTCATAGAACAAGTTTCGTACAATAAGTTAAGTTGGAAAATAAGTATTTTTGGTTTTCTCAGGCAACAGAAAACGGAACGTCTCATCCGAATTTCAGCAACAAATTAACTTATTGTGTATTCGGTAACACTGTCCACGACTTTTTATCATCTATTAACTGATTTATTCATTCTTTCTAGCCGGAAATTGCTAGGCACAGTATTGGCCTTTTTTTCAGGGCTTTCAGACACTCTTCACTGTTAAATAGGCGATTGCGAATCTAATTTGTCAGAGATCGGGAAAAATGATAATCCGTCAGAACAAGCTGCTTCGACTGCTTTTGGTCTCCATAAAAGTGAAACAGAGCCGGTATCGAAAATATGCCTTTCCCATTTGCAAAATTTATTTTGAGGCCTGAAGTTGACCTAAAATCCCGCTTACTGCATAAACGGATCTAGAGAGAGAGAGATCGTATATAGAAGGTAGAGACACAGCGGAGAACCAAAGAAGAAAAAGGAAGATTTCTACTTCACTTCTTGATTATTGTGTCATTACTGAGCGTTCATAGAACTTTGATGCCTTGTTGAAAAACGTTTCAAACAGTATCAAGCATTTTTGATTTTTAGAACATATCGAAATTGAGACTGTGTAGCAGAAATTTTCACTGCGTTATTATCGAAACAAAAACTTTTCCTATTATCAAATAGAAAACTAACAATCTAATACATAATATTTCATAAACAAATAAAAAGCTAAGAATTACACCAGGAATTTCACCTTACTGAGCTTCTTGGAGAGCTTTGCGGATAAATATCATCAAATCGTTGACATCTCTTTGTCTTAACTCTTCTCGCTTGTACCAGCCTACAGCCGCTTGACGTTCGGTGGCCACCGCGATAAATTCGGTTTTGCCTGTTTGCTTAATTTCGGCCGAACAGGAATACGCTTGCAATGGGCTCAAGCAAAAAGTGTTGTTGTCCGCAACGATGCCGATCAACTAACACTGGACCCGTTTCCGCAAAAATAACTGCCATTGAGCACTGCTTCAGTGACCTACGGTACAAGTTGAATTAACTTAATGTCTAATTTCATCGATAACTATTTAAATTGCTTCCTTATTTAATCACATATACCATTTGGTGGCTGCGTACGCTCTCAAACGCATTGACGACTCGTGCCTAATAGATGTAACTTGAAAATTGAGTCTTTTCGACTTTGCACTAATTAGATCATATAGTGTTCACTTTGGTGTATGCAGTAAGGACGATGTAGCATACTATGAACTGTTGAAACACGTAAGGCCAATGTTGTGCAGATAGATCTAATTAATTAATACCTTCGGTGAGTTAAAGAAACCTTAGGTATACAGCTTTTCCTCATTGAAGAAAGGCTGACTTAATCGAGCATACTATGACGGAACAAACCATGGCTAAATTTATCTACGTCGCACGGATTCTGCAGGTAAAGCGCACTCTAATTCGTTCTGGTCAAGGAAAACTCATTGCCCTTAATGTAAATGAATTTCGTCATTAAGTAATATTCATGCAAGCATCGACTGTAGGATCTGGTATTTCAATAGACACTGTGTTCCTGCCTGAGAGCCTTCGCCGCTTCATATGTTCGGATATTCCCGAATGTGTGTGTATTTGTAGTTCTGTGCAAGCGAGAAGAGTAGCGTGAATTAAACCGAGGAAATTATTGGAAGTAACGTATGAACTAGACGGGTTTAGAACGCTGCTGGTGCAGTGCAGTGCAGAACGGATAAAAATAGTAATGACCACAAATAGCCTCTGACGCAGTTGGAAAACAGACAACAGTATGTTCTCAAGTCAAAAAAAGAACCTCTTGTGAGGATGAAGCCCTTTCTGAGTGTGAACCCCTATGATTAGAAAGTCGACAGAGGCTTGGACACCATCTGGCTGTAGACGTTATTTGTAGAAGTCTCAGATACTATGAAGCGCACCAAAGCAACTTGAATAATCCCAGTTCAACTCATTTTCCTGTCATAACAGAAGACATTACACTTTAATAATACTACAAGAAAACTTCTGTATATTATTATGAATTTAAAAACTCGAGCACTTACGAACGTATGAAAATTTTTGCCTCATGTAGGATAATCTTACCTTGTCATGCTCGGGCCGATTGTCCGATATGAGTGCTAGTTTGAGGGCCGTAGAGGTAGTCAGTAACCGATTAAGGTACTCCTGAATCAAAGACCAAAACAAGAGCAAACACTTTTCATTATGAGGCTGCTATGCTATGCTATTATATCATCAAATAATCAATCTCCCCACCGAAGGCTAGTTGGAAGAATTTACCGCTTCAGATTTGACCGTGTTAGGCCATGATCTTAAGACGATGCTCATGTTTCATAAGATAGTCTCTCCCTAACATGTATTAGGCACCATCTATCTAGAGAAGCTCGGTATCTTCACAAGAACAGTACATATACTCTCTTCATATCTTCGTATATCAAGCTAATTCTATAACTATGCCATATGCGACACTGTGTTTCGTTATCCAAACGGCGAATAGTGAGTGATCACATCCTAAAGTATTTTATAATTTATCTTTGTAGTAGTTCTTGTTATAGTTTACCGCCAATGGGGTCTGCCTTCGAGTAGTGTCGATACTTGAGGAGATTAACACCAGTTGGACACAATGCGAGACAAAGCATGAGGAAACCCCGAGGATGATGAGTCCGGTAAAGAGGTGTCCGATGGAAATTACGTTGAACGGAAGATGCTGACCGGAAGGCCACCAAAACACACCCATCATCAAGAGTGTACCTGAAGATCATACAAAAATGCTATCTCACTATAATTCCTTAAACGCATCTCTGTGGCACTGCTGTGATTGATCCCGCCATTTCGCTCGAAAGTAAGCAATATATATATATATAGGGTTACTTGTGCTCTCATATGAAAAAAGGCACCTGCCCTTGACATAATCGCGCTTTTTTAGTCCTACCTGCAATCAGTCGAAGATCGGTTCTGTCATTGGGTATTAAAAGGGTGCTGGATGCTAAGGCGAGCATCCACAGCAGCGGAAGATAATGCGAGAACACGTAGGAAAATGCTCGACGTTGTAGTCTTAACTGTACAGTCATGGACGTATGTGTTTCAGAACAGCAGGCAAATTGCACCTCTGCGCGACCTTTATGATTACCTATATAGCGGAAAAGTACGTCATGGGTCGGAGACAAGGCCAAAAATTGAAATAGAAAGAGCTCAACGAAGCATTTAAAGTAGCAGACATCTATCCCAGAAAAAGTAAATACATGTACAGGGTGGGGCAAAAACGTTTTGACAGTCATAGGGTATTAATTTTACATTTCAACTAGCGCTTTTTGTTTCAAGCTGTCAAACGACTTTTTGTCTCATCCTGTATATACAACAAGCATGCAATAAAGTTGATAAATGTCAGAATGTTGTCGCTTTGAGCGATAAAAATAGATATCGACGAAAACTACACGGACCCCTTTGTACTTTATTGTTGTCACCGTAGCTGTCTACTAACATCGGCAAGTTTAGCAATACTCAAAAATATTGCTAAATATTGTATAATAATAATAATAAATACGGGATATGAATGAAAATAAATATGTTGGTCTTTGTCAGTTTAGAATTTTATGGGAAGCAGCGAACCAAACAGTTTCCCTGGACAGCCCACTCACTAACTTAGTAACGTTTGCTTGATTACAGCTTGAGGCGACAAACCATCGCTTGGCTCGGGATTGTACTTAGCCCAAATTATTTGCCCATTATTCATTCCAGTAGGACACTAGTGCAGGATCGTGGTGGCTCTAGTTAGATAGGATAGGAAGTGCTACCTAAAAATACGGGTCCAGTGGTTCCTGTGTCGGGAACCCCTACGTCTAATTGTCTTTAGCACCTGGTGCGCCAGGACGTGCTCTGCATCATTTTCATCTAATCTATGAATGCATATTACCCTAGTAATGAAGGTCGGCGTATCACTGCGTTAAAATGTGGCCATTTTCAGAAGAAAAACTGATAGATTTTGCTGATAAATATGAAAATAATCCTTTCTGAAAATCGCTGGCATAATCGCAATTCATTAGAATTGATACTGTTTGTACTAACGGAAAAATAATATCTCATCGTACGTACGCTCAAAAGAGACAGACTTTCATGGTCTGTTTGACCATATCTAGCCAATCATAAACTGGTCTCGTCTCGACGTTTTCATGTGGCCGTATTAATTTGGCGAAAATTAAGGTCCGAATCATTTCAATTTTGTTCATAAACGAAATAATAATAATAATAATCAGAAACACTGGGTCACATCTAACCGAGCAGCTGCCATTCGCCCGTGTCGTCCGCAACTTGATCATTAAACCGAACCGTCCCTCCGTTTTCTTCCTGCCAGTGAAGATCGACACTGCCGCTGTAAGATGTCCATGTCCCGATAATCAGTGAACAGCTATACTGATCGAACGGGAACCATCGGCCAAGGCCTTCAATTGGGCCACCGCATCGGGTCTTCACTGTGATCGGGCTAATTAACTTAACTTTTCCGCTGCTGAACACTATTGCCTGCGTCGGCTCGATCTGCTCGGAGATTCTGCTAAACGAGGAGCAGGAAAGTCCCATAGATTATAGTTACTTCGCTGATATTGTGTCACATAGCAAGTAGTAATTTCACTGATAAACTGCAGGAGTATTGGTATGATGCTTATTAGATGCCGAGAAAAACTATATACTATAATTATCTGTAGACAAAATGCTTACTTAGCGCGAGAGAGCCACTCTAAATAATGATGTGTTCTCGCCGATAGTAGCTTATTGGCAGTAGGTCATTTTCTATTTTTAACAAGCTCTTGGACCTATCACTGTAGCATTTTCAGGTAGCTGTTGTCATAATTCACTTTAATTTAGTTTCTACTGTCTATTTAATTCCTTCTTAATTAATGAATTTTACACTAACTCTATGTAGCTTTTCGAAATCGATACAGCAGCGCCACCAGATACCAAAAAAGAGCGCATCTCGAACCTGTTGAATAGGTCAGGCATACACACGTCAGCAAATCCGGGTCACGTTAACGTAGGAAAAACGTAGAAAACTCGATTGGTAGAGTTAATCATTTTAGCGATCGAACCTTTTTGTACCTCAGCCGTTAAATTTATTTGAATCTAGCGTTGATAAGCTGTGGTTGCTTTTACTCACATCTCATAACGGGTACACCTAAACGGTAAAACGAACGTTATTCTATCAACGGACTGTGAAAGTGTTTCGCGCATCTTCGACTACCTTTTTTTCTTTATATAGCGCGTCACAAGGTTTTCACTGGCCGAATAGAGAGCTTGTCGTTTACGAACAGTTTCCTTAAAAGTTACATAATGAGTGCCTAATTTTCTTGACTACACACAGCAGAAGACGCAAGCTTATTTGAAGGTCACTGGCGAAGGAACGGCTATAGATCTTAAGCGCAATGATTTTCTGGCTGGGGGAACATCGATTTTGGCAAAGGTTGGAATTGAGTGAAAAGCAACTAGACAAAGTTTTGCCATTCCCACGCAACATGCGAACGCTAGGATTAATTACGGGTGATTCATTTGGGAGACGAACTTTCTTTACCCTTTTTACGTTTTGCCCTCCGGAGTCAGGTTTGAGGTGGCGTGTTTCAGCATCGACTGAACGCTGACTATACTAAGCAGGTAAAGCGAACAAAGGCTTATGGAACTGTTTCCGTACGAACTACTTCCAACGATAAGAAATAGACATACCCATCTATCGCCTTTTGCCGATTTCGCTAAAACAGGAAAGCCAAGATGCTGATATATGTGCAAGTTTAACGCATGACCATAGGTTTGTTGAATAAATAGATAATACTTACCTCAGTGCCACTCTTTTATACATGTATCATACATCAACACATCTCTAAGAACTGCGCAGGACTCGAACAAGGTAGTGAAGGGTAGAAAATTATACAATTTTTTTCACATATATATATAGGGATATCGTTTACAGTTGTATATGATTAGGCACGAACGTTGCTATATTTTCAGCGATTTCTGCTTAAGCTCCCCATTTGTTCCTTTTCTCTCACCCATTATAAAAGCGGACATCGGGCTGCCAAATCCTTGATGACTGCAAGCGAATCGCAGACACGTTATTGTATCGAAGGGGGTCCCAGACGAGATTTGCATCTTCCCAGTGAAGCGAAAGCCAAATCCGAGTTGTGAGTTCACCCGCGTTTGGGTCCTGTGTTACAAATAAGCGTAACGATTTCATAAGCGGATAGACACTGTATCAAAAGGAAAGAGCGTGGCATTTTTTTGCCCCTGTAATGTTTGCGAAATACTTGTTTAGATGATAGATTATTCATAACGTTCATTTAGATCGGCATTCACTGAGAGAAGTGCTGCTAATTAATTTGGGTAGTAATCACGAAATATATAGTACGACCTTCATACGAAATATGCGGAATATTGTCATACGTCGATTACAAGCGGGGGGTAAAGGGACTTCCTATGGTCGTAAATTCATTGAAATTGGTGATATTATTTGAATCGTATTACTTACCACTTTTATAAGATAAGCAATCTACTTTATACAGAAGCGTACCCTATATACTTCATATAGAAGCCTATCTGTGTCGTCTCTATAAACAAAACTTCAATCGTGAACCGTTTGCAGTGAACCAGTTCGTGAACCGGTGAATAGAACGCACCAATTTCATTATTTTTTGTATGTTGACGTTTACTCTGACGATTACAGGCTGGCTGAGGTTTCTCGTTGGCCTCTCGACGATATTGTAGTACTGTAAGAGGTCGACAGCAAGCTGCCGCTCATGCGGGCTTCCCGTAGCGCTCAGCGGATAAAAACCTATGGCCCCCGATATAGAAACCAATTACCTGTTAATTAAGTTCACTTCCTACGTTACATAGATGCATATACTTAACCGAAAAAAAAACCTGCCATCATTACCTAGAAAAAAACGATGAGCTTTGGTGGTATGACGTGCTAAACAAAAATGATAGGTTAGTTTCATAAAAGTCACACTCTGAGCTCACAGGCCTTGTAGTTGTTGTTTTTCGGCTAGGTTAATGTATTAAACAAACTTCGGCACACAGTAACTTCGATACAAAGATACACAGTAATATCACGTACTTGTATATTTAAGTTAAAAATCTGCCTACAGAGTTCGCTGCTTTAGTTGATAATAACGTTGAAATCAAAAACAATACAATAAGAAATTTACTTATACGTAGATAAATTGTTCCGGCTGAGGCGATAAATATCTGTATGTGACAATCTTAACGAGAAATTAGGGGTTAGACTTTAATCTGGGCGCGCGTATTGCAACAGACAATTTCCCTATGTAGCACCCTATGTAAATATACCCGTAGGAGAACCAACATAATTAAACAGCGCGTACCCGCATAATGGTATTGTCATATTATAGCAATGTTTTTGTAGCGGAAAAGGACGCGCACCAGCCGATGATCGACAACTACTTCTAACTTTGAATAAAACATACTCAACTTTGATTGACTTGTCGGTTCCAACCGCAGTTGATACCCACGATAACTAGTTTTCATGTAACAGTTTTCTTTCCTCTACAACGTCGTTTTCGTATTTTCCACCGTCAAATGCTAACGACTAACAGTAGCACAGCTTAGGACACTGAAACGCGGTCGGCTTGTTGCCCGTCCTATTGCTCTGTCGTCTATTTTCTAAACAGATATTAGGACTTGGCAGACGAGACAGGTCCAATGGTCGGAGGGTCTAGCAGTCACCCGACGCGGCAACAGAAAACAACTAGCGACGCTAGTAACAGGTTAAAAGGGGTTTTAAGAAACTGCGTTGCATAAAAGTGTGGCTCAATGGTTTCACGATCCGTTCGTCCGATGATAAAGGGCGAACGATGGCGATCGCGAGATGTTACCTGGATAGGGCTATCTGAACACTTATTCGATATAAACAGGCACACAACCAGTCTATTAGGGCTAGCGACAGCAATTACCCAAGTCTATTCGTCCACTGGTGCTGGAGTAACTTTGTATGGCCCTTTTAGATAACTTCGATGCGCAGTGGACACGTGCAAAGGGTAATGGGTGGGCACAATGGGAGTGACCCGATCGTGCCAGACTTAGAATTGGCTTTTTAGAAACTGATATAATAACGAATGTTCCAACGAACATTTAGCATATAGGGCAATTATTTGGAGTGAAGGTATATATATTAGGTTGAAGTATTATTACTATTATTAAAAAAGAAACGGAACTTCTTACTTATGAATTGGACAGGGCTGAAATTAGTTTAATTCTATAAGTGCTACTAAAAAAATTACCAGTGAGCAATTATTGATTAACATCTTTGAGCGTATGTGTAAGGTCGTCGAGCCTATTTTGGGATTATCTTCTATTATCTATTATATTTTATGTTGTATCTACTGTATTTTGAGATTATTATTAAGGCTTTATCGTATTCATTCCGCTGCACAGGACCGTCTGCCAGTCACTCATTTATGCTGCAGTAATTAAGCCTGAATACCTTTAGACGATTTGAACGAATCAAAGTTAAGCAATATATTATTATATAGATCACTCCTGCGCCAACCCTCGAGTCGAATGGCTTGTATAACGAGTTTAATTAAAGACCCTATACGCATAATTGATTCGTACGACGCATACGTTTGATGCACCCACGTCACAGATACGCAGTGTTCACTCGTATTTGTTGTTATACTGAGTCATTATCCCGTTCCTCCAAACGTGAGATCCCCACGCCTCCGTTGTCTAATTTTTCTTAGCGTCTTACCTGTTGTCATCAACGCGACGGTAACCAGACCCCCAATGTGAGCTTTTGTAGGTTTTATATTCATCGTCTGTGAAGTGTTCCTCGTCGTTGTGGCACTTTCTTCTGTTCACTCTTCGTCAATGACAGTCGACTTGACCACAAACCTGAAATGGAAACCATCCGTTAGCAGTGTAGAAGCAGATTTTTAATTTCCTGCCGATGATACGATGCTAAAGCCTTTGAAGGGCAAAACGAGGGGCATCAGGAAGCCACTGGAGAAGAAGACGACATCGGCATGGTTCCGCTATCTACTATCAAGTTTTTTCCGTGAAATCAGCAACAAGACGATCGTAGGTCTATATATCGTTGCCAACCTCTGGCTAATTCCACCAGAGAACTAAAACTTTCTAGGGCCTGGCATCGTAACCAGTACCAGAATGTCTCATGCTAACGCCAGGCCGAGTGATGGCTCTCATTCATTCTATAAATATATATAGCTGTTAATAAAAACGACTGAACTGAACTCTATCATGTCTCATATCCGTACTTGTTTGCGCGTGTCCCTGGATTAGGCATTGATTCGCGATGTGAGGAGATGGAGGCTGTCGTCCTGTGCAGGATACGTTTGTGGCAAAGCTGATTTGAATTACATATATGGCCAGGCGGCACAGGCCCTCTTGGATTGTCCTTCTGTTCGCTGCTCGGCTGGCTAGACTTGCTAAGTCTTAACTTTGGACAAAAGCATGTCGAAATTGTGAGCATATTCGGCTCAGGGTTTTCGAGCAGTCTGTGGCTCATAAAGGTTCCAACCTTCAATTTGCTGTGTACACATCAGAAATTCTTGCAACAATGACAACGGGTGCTTAGACAAAATAAGCGTAAATAATTTTTGACTAAATATCCTTTCGACGAATTTAACCACAAGCATACTCATAACATAGCCCATAACTACGTTAACGTTCTACCGCCAGTGGCGTTGACCGTAAAAGAAGAACATCTACACAGATAAACCACACGCTGAATATATTATTTTCTATTAAAGAAGCTTTGAAAATTTTTATGACACAATTTTACTATTTATCATACTCGTGCCAGCTATACTACCGGATTCCAATTATCTGTTTTCGATAAGATGTTCTTTTGAGTCGCCGTGTTGATAAAAATAGTTTATACATTCTATATATTCTTGTATCATTTACTTGTACATTTTTGTCGTAGCAGACTTTTTGTTACTAAAAGGAACATACAGCTTAACTAGCCATTGTTTCGGATAATTCAATCTTTGATAATATGTAACGCACATTACCCCCGGGGGCTCGTGTTTCAGTGCGTCGTGATGTTTCGAAGGATTTTCTTCTCCTTTTTTTTGTGAGCCTACTTCAGCGTCTTCAGAATTCGGTAAAGGCTGCTCAGACATTATAAGTAGTGCAACATCGTCCCGTAAGTGGATGAAGGACTGGTAAACAACAGTAAGCTATGCGTTTTTGGTTGATGAATGACATTTTATGTGTAACTTAAATCATGACAACACCAGATCTTTATGCTATGGACTCGTATTCAGCAAAAACAGCCCAGCGAAGATACCAAAGATCTAATGATCACCCTAATAGGCGCAAGGGCGTTATTTCGCGCAAAAAAATGACTCACCGTGCGAGAGCAATTCCAGCTTATAGGAAAAAGTTTTTCAAAGATGACTTTTTCTTATTTATCATTTCACTTAGACCGTAGAATAACAAAACGCACATATTTCCCGTAAAGGCTGTGGCGATTCTTAAAACCATTCAGCCTAGACTATTACAAACCTGTCTCCCTAGACATGTCTTCTTCACTGCAATGTTATATTGTTTTTTAGATAACAGTAAAATAAATATGGCTATATCTTCAATTCAGATCTGCTACTGCGGCAGCAGCTTCTCTATTGCTTACCGGCTTCGATGCAGTCTATTCAATCATCTCCCTTTCAACACATGGTCACGTTATATTACCGCTTTAATTTTCAAAGATACCCATGCCGATTCTGGCGTGCATATATCATATACGTAGACATGTATTTCTATTCCGCAGCCTTTAATTTGCTAATGTTCTGACAAGCTTTTTAGCCTGCGAGGAGAAAAGATATGAGAAAGATCGTAATAAGTAAAAAAAATACACCCTTCTTTATGGCAATGTAAGCCCGATAAGCTAATCAATCTTCTGTAATCTATCCGCCTCTAACCAGCAAGCAAAAGCAGGCCCATCGAGCAAGACCCATGAAATGTTCGTTTATGAAATTATCGTTTACAAACGATACAGAGCCAATCGTTTACATCGACTAAAATCGACTCCTTTGCATTATGTTCTTCAGCCGTATTATAGATCGAGCCGAGATTATCTATAAATAACTACAGCAGAGTGTGTTTTGTTTCCATAAGGCTATTAGCTCGTTCAGGAGCCAAGCTACTGGCAACTGGGTCAATCAGTTCTCCAACGTTGCCCATTGGGTCAATGTCGCTGAGGTAACTGGGGCTCCGGGACAAAGGTCGTAGAGTTGAGCTGTCAGTTCGACCAAACGATTCCACTGAAAACAGAGCCTAATAGGCCGACGTCGAAGGAACTAATCGTTCTGCGTTAGGACCTGTTAATGGACCACTAGCAACGTTCACGCTGTGTCCTTTGAACCAAATGATATCTTATTAGTGCCCATATTCTGATACGTACGAAAGGTGGAGCATGTGAATTGTCAATTGTGGCTTTAATCTTAGCGCTTGTAAAAGTTGCAACGCGTACCTGTAAACTAGAATCAGCAAAATCCTGCTGTGACTAAATAGTAAGCCGTCATAGTTATCATATATACGCAGAAGGATTATTTTCATACCATTATACAACGCTAGCTAGCTGCTCGTTTCTCCATTTAGCTTAATTTAGCGCTAACCATCCTCCTTTTGCATCACTGCCTTTCGCGGTACGCTGCTCTACGGCCCGCACGGAAGAAGCATCTTTTTGCAATGCTCGATTGTCTGGCATCCAAGATAACAATTGAGCATTACTTGCTTCGCTGACCTCAATGATATCCTGCTTAGCTCTAGCTACAAACTAGCGCTTGTTCGTCAACCTTCCTTGTGTTGTTGAGGGCAGTAGTATTACCCTATTTATCTGCATGATGTTTTTACCTAATGCAACGAAGGAGTCGATAGAGCCGCGTAATTCCCCAAAGAAGGCCTCCACACATGTCCTCTTCCCGTGAGGAACAATATGACTGAGAAAGAGACAGAGAGAAAGACAAAAAGAGACAGCTAAAAATGCTTCCAAAGACAGCTTTTGTCTTTTTCTACTGCTGCCGGTCAAGCTAGTGTCTGGTACGGTTCTCATACTGCCTTCTTTGGTATAAGACCTAGCAAAAGTTTTTGGATAGAAGAAGCATAGTCAAAGGCACTCCGTAGTGCTGTCTGCACATCGTAGAATACATATACGAATCACTGAGTGCTCAGGCGAGAAAGGTGGTCAAGAAGCTTTTTTCTTGCACTCTGCACTTGATCGACCATAGCCAGTCAGACCGCCGGCACTCAATTCTTCACTGGTAAACTGAGTTCTTCAGTCGGCTCACGTGCAAAGGGCCAAGCAACTACCTGGGCTGATTCAACATCCTTAATTCGTACTTCACCAAAGCGTCCTTACCTTGACGAGTAACCTTTCCCAAAATCTTACTTTCAACCGGTAGGATTATGTAAACTTTTTGAGTTTATGGAAAGTTTCGCGATAGTGCGATGCATCCGTCATTATGTATGCGTTATACCATGGTAGAAATAACGCTTCTATAAGATGAACGAGCCATGACTTTTATATATCTGTACACTTATTTAATACTGCGATTTTAGTTATCAGAACCCAAATTGGTTGAGGTCTCTATGAGTTCACTATATGAAAGCAAATATTTATATTTTAATAGATAGCAATCGACAATACACTGAATTAGTGGTTCACGTTAGATAATTAGAGTCGTCATTCAGGAAAGCTAATGAAATTAATTTCATATAATTTTTTTCCCAAGCGGACATTTCCCGTACCCCCAGATGCATTATTACAGAGTGATTGGGTGTGAGCAACAAGCAAAATAATGAACAGATAATTACCTACTCTGTAAGTGAAAACGTCACGTTCCTTCGTTTTATGAGGAAATGGGCTTATTGACGCACCGAGTTTTTGATGCGAATCACTGTTAATCACGCTGTGAAGTTTTTTCATACTTTAGAATTTTTTCCCTTTTCAATATTCCCTATTGATTCCTGCAATCGAGCCGACATTTTTTGATGAGCCATTTTTTTTTTGTAGTCATTAGCAAACATCATTTTGCTTAAAAACGAAGTCCGTTACAGTTTCACATCGTTCTCTTTGAACACTGTATCTTGTCGTATTTAAAGGAGAACTTGCAATGATGACAGCGATCATTTTCTTAGTTACAATCTGTCACTATTTACATGCTTTCTCCGATGTTTCATTCTTGGCCGAGACTAAGACCGAGACTCTATTTCTCTGAGTTCTGATAAAGCTGGCGGTTAATTGAGGTTTCGACGGTTTTTGCCAGGTCAACTAGCTTTTGAAGATTGTGAGCGAATGTTAGAGGAGACTATAGAACCTGGTAGACTGAGGGCACGAGTTGATCTATGGTAAGAGGGTGAAAGCCCAATAAATGGACTAGTACCACTGTTATTTAGGAACAACCGACCGTGGAACCCTACAATTCCACAGAGTCACGCAGGGGGCTGGCCATCGCCTGAGGGCATTGCGGTCTAAGGGCCATCAACAAAGTCCAGACTCAACTACGGTTCAGCACAACGTGATTACAATCCACTTCTCTTTCGACATTCAACGCCAGACAGTCGGCGCTTTGTCGGCTTTTTCCTTTCGTCACGTTTAAGTAAAATACAGTTGTGCCGGCTCCGGTTCGTGGTAGCTTTGTTGCAACTTGGCACGTTCGATACATAGAAGCAGGCCCACGCTGGTTACAGCATAGACTATCAAACCCCATTGACTGGCCGTCGTTATGGTCCACAACGTTTCGTTTTACCCTTTTGCGCTGTTTCCATACTACAAATTTTAAATAAAAAATAGTTGCGCACACCCCTCCCCGGGGCTTTCGTCGTTTGCCGATACTTCCCAGCAGCGTGAAACTGACAGGAAACTCTAA